TCCAAATGCAGTCACATTGGGGGTTCAACATTCAGCATATGAATTTTGGGGAGACTCAATTCAGTCCATAACACTTATACAGTATCCGGCTTTTGTGTTATATGTAGACAGGACTTTGTGACTCTAATATTATAAGAGCGCTTCCTCAAACTCCTTCGTAGTACTTTTTAGACTTCTTTTTTTTATTAAATTATTCATCCATTTGGCATTTATTATGGTGTTAAATATGTGGTATGGACCCATCTTTATCTTTTTTCCACATGGCTACCCAGTTGTCCCAATATAGCTTATCTAACTCTTAGGGGAGAAGCAATGGACTAGATGTAGTTTTGCCATAGCCTAAAATGGGCCTTTTAATATCAGAGAGGGAATAATAAATATAGAAATGGGACTGATAATCAACAATGAGAGAAAGCTATGGGATACGCCCTAGACATAAAGCAATAGGAAAGAAAAATTCAACAAAACACATGTGAAAGCTGTGATTGAAGAAAAAGAAAATAAATTTCTTTCTGGTTTCGAACAGGACAAGCTCAGAATGCACAGTTAACAGGTTTCAGTTATATTATGAAAAAAATAATAACCGTTGTCCTGCATATATTTTACAAATATTTCCTACTTCATTATTTGTCATTTAATTTTTTAAACACGGATACTTTTTGTTCTTTATTAATTATCATACTTGTCTTCATTGTGAGAGTTTTTCTTTTCTATTGTGGTTAAAGGATATATTTATATTTATATTATACTCTTATTTATATAAAAGTAAGAGTGAAATACAACATTGTATTTGTATTTCACTCTCATTTTTCTGGAGTACACCTCTCAGAAACCAAATATGATAATTGAACTTTCTGAAATCATTATTATGTTCTCACACTTGGTTTTTGTCTATAAAGGGAATAGAATTTTAAGTCCAAAATAACTTCCCTTTACTATTTTGTAGATATTGTCTTCTGGTATCTAATGTTTCTGATGAGAAATCTGATACTAGCTCACTTATTATTCTTTTATAAAAGATCAGAATGTCACTGAAAGCTAACCTTTTTCTTTTATATTTGATGTTCTGAAAACCTTATTGATGTAGGTAGGTGTGATTTATTTTACCATTTATTTTGCTCAGGACACAACTATGTGTGTGCTATCAATCTCGAAATGTGTTACTCTTCAGTTCCTTGAAATATTTCTTTGGTTATTTCTTTGATAGTTTTCTACCTCTCCTACATTTGTTGTTCTTTCTTTCTGGAATGCCTATTAGTCATATGATGGACCTATTGGATTAATCCTCTATGTTTTTTCAATTTTTCCATCTTTTTGTTTCAGTGCTGTATGTTCTGGGATACTTCCTCAATTAAATCATCTAACCATTCTATTAAATGTTTAATTTCTGCAATATATGTAATTACAGTAGTCTTTTCTTATTCTCAGACTGTTCCTTTTTTGGAGTATCCTGTTCCCTAACACAATATTTTCTTGATTACCGCTTATAAAGCTTAATATTACTAAGTTCTTTTGGTTCCTAAGCTGACTCAGAGTCTTCCTAGATAGTTTCTTGTTTTGCTTAGTTTTATCTTTCATGCTGCTGATTTTCTTCATATCTCTGATAGTTTTGATTCTGCATTCATTTTTAAGAATGGGTTTTTAGGGGCTGGCCGAGTGGCACATTGGTTAAGAGTTGGCTTGGGATGCCAGCTCTGAGCAGCAGGTCCCTGGTTCGAATCCCACATGAGGGCCAGTGACTTTGCTCCCTCTACAGCTAAGATGGTGAACAACAGCTCGACCTCGAGCTGGGCTGCCATGAGTCACCGGCGACAGCATAGGCTGCAGTGGGACTGGCTGGCAGCTGGCGTGTGCTTTCATGAGCTGCTGTAAGCCGCTGTGGCGTGGCCATCCAATGGCTGGCGAGCGACTGCCTCTCCTGGAAGAGCGCAATGATAATACCAACATGGGCCAGTGAAGCAACGTCCTGCACAACTAGACTGAAGGACAAAAGGAAAGCAACTTGTCTGTCCCCCTCCCACAATTCCCCAATTAAAAAAAAAAATCTTTAAAAAAAATGGGCTTTTAGTTTTATGTGAAGAGAGAACACTCGGGAAGGGAATCTGGAGGAACTGAAGTTCAGTGGCTTCCTAAAAAGCTTTCAAATTGATATTTTGTATTTGTCCTCTTTTTATTTCCAACCTCTACTGTGCCAGATAACTCTAAGCCTAGGGTCTCTCTGGGATTCTGCCAGGCACACCAACTTTCTCTGAAGCTTTAGTCACCTCCTGTAAATTCTGAGATGCCACTTTGATGATCTCATTGGTCAACAAGCTTCCATATCTCTCTTGATCTTTCAGACATTCTTTGAAATACCTTGTCTGCTGATGGTACCTCTCTACCTCACTTCAGTATTAGAAATTAATTTTTCAACTTTTTTTTATTAAGTCTTCAGGAGGAAAACTAAACAAATACTACTATCAAATATGAATACAAATACAAATACTACTAATGCTACTATCTCCCTAAACCAAAAATTTTAGCTACTTTTGGCTCCAGCTTGTACTTAACTATTTTGATTACCATAGTAACAAATACATTTTAATACCCTGTAGAGCAACTTTTGTAATATTATTCTTTTTCACAATTTTGTAAGTTGTTTTTTTGCAACTATTTTATATGATCTGTAGAATAATTTTGTTAAATTAAGAGAAAATGTAAGAATTTTAATTTTGACTATATTAAATTTACAGATTAATCTAGGATATAATAAACATTTTTACAATAACAATCCACCTAACTAGGAGTATAGCTTCTTGGTTAATTTATTAAAATCTCAATTACTTTAGTAAAATTTTGTGATTTTTCTACATATTGATTCTACAAATTTCCTGTTAAATTTATATGTAGGACTTTCATATTGCTATTATTTTGTTATGTAAATACTCACTGATTTTGCAAATTTTTCTGATAAACAGCTACTTTACTGAATTCTTTTATCAATTCCAATAGTTTGATACCCTTGGATTTTTCCAGGTAATCATATCATCCACACATAATTTTATATATCATTTCTTTTTCTTGTTTTATTATATCATTGATTAGAATTTCAAAGATAGTGTTGATAACTGCTTTAATCGTGCCTGTGGCAGAGCTACTAATCCTGTCTTATGTTTAGTTATAGATGATCTGACCACTAATTTTAGCAGGGCACATGGTTTTACAGCTCAAGATTTCTTTTCCTAGCCCCTCTTATAGCAAGGAGTGGACATGTCACTAATTCTCACTAATAAAATATGAGCAGAAGTGATGCATGTAACTTCCTAGTCATTCCCTTAACAGAAAATCCTATTGAAAACATTTTATTAATAGTTTAACATTTAAAAATCTATTTTCCTCCATTATTTGCTCATGAAATCCATTCTTCATGAAATGACTATATCTCACAAAATTCTAGTATTTCACAGGTCAAGATTGAGAAACACTAGCATTTTATTAAGTATATTGCTCAATTTAAAAAACGTACTTTCTACCTAGTTTATTAATATGTATTTTATTAGGAATAGGTGTTGAATATTTTCTAGCCTTTTAGGACATTGAGATGATCTCCTTAACCTACAATTATGATAAATTAATACAGATTTCTATTTTGATTGCCTATGAATTTAAAAAATTAAACCTATTGGCTTATAGTTTCTTTAAGACAATACCAAATTGATTTTTTGCCAACATCTAGAATTTTTTGCATATATGTTGAAATGTAAAGTTTTCTTTTTTGGGGGTAGGGGGGATATAGTTTAGTTAATTTTTAGCTTTATTTGATCATCCTACCTTTACTTGTCCCAATTTAGCTCATCTTCCTAGGCGATTACAAGAAGTCTTTCTTCTACCCTGCCTGTTCTCTCCCTTCTCTAAACATACATATATATATGTATATATATATATATATATATATATATATA